CTGCAAGATAACAAACAATAGATGAAATGGTCGCGACTTTTTGAGAATCATCATATGTACCTCCTTATCCTGATCGAAAGCCGTCACTTGACCGATAATCGTTCCGGGCATGGTATCCTCTTGAACGACGAAATTGTAATTGGAGCTCTCAAAGTTGGGAATCCAATCGTTCACATCTCCTACGTGCACTGTTATCGAGACGAAATGAGGCATTGAAGGATCAACCGCCAATCCTGCGGCCTAAAAAGGATTCTACATATAACAGCCTCCATGAACATTCTCAGATCCTCTAATCTACACCCTGAACTGGATATAGATTTCATATCTTTTAACAAAAGTGTTCGCCTTCGCTTTTACAGTAGCCCTAAGGGAAGGCGCCGCTTACGACGGAAAACAGCCCGCAATAAATCTAGGTAGTGGTGGCCAGTGGTGCACGGATAGAGAAAAACACAAGAGAGACGGCCTAAATGGAACCCTTTTGCCCGTTAATTTAGACTACTGTGGTCCGCTTATGGGTGAGCACATAGTGTGTACATATCATGAGGAAGCTTGAGAATCATCATTCTTCATGAAGGTGGTGATTACGATAAGCTGGGTCTGCACTGGAGAAGTATACGCACCATTAGGAGCAGTAGCAGGCGACTGAGGAAGGGTACTGTGGCGTTTTACGGCCATTGCCCTAGTTGTAGCGCAGTTGAGCTCAAACTTCAAACAGACCCACTGAGAAAGCATCTCACATCGAGCGGCCGTGCAATATTCTATTGTCGTTTCCTATATCTTCTCGGAGAACACCCACAAACCGCCAACAAAGTCGTCCAAAGTAAACGGACAGTGGGGTCCTCATACCTGATTCTTTGAGGGCTCATTCATTCACGGTCTTCACTCACGCACCATATTTAACCACTGCCTTCATATTTGATCACCATCAAATTACCATGATCACCACCTTCAGGGCTTTATTAGAGGCAGAACTCAACGCTATTGTTTTATACTTCTACAGGGTAAGTTTTTGTGCATGAGAGTATTTAACTTTTTCACATAAATTGTATTGCTCATAGAAACAGTGTGAGTTGCTAGGAGAGAAATTGGTTTCAGAGTGAAGAGAGTGGTGGTCACTTGAGGGTGTGATTGGTTTTCTCCAGAGAACCAAGAGCAATCTCCTGTACTGGCTCTGCGCTTTACAAGGGCTGCTTTCCAGTAGCAAGTGTCGTTATGACGTCTGCGGTTACAAGCTGCTGCTTTTCCAGTCCCTTCTAGAAGGATTTTGAAAACGGGTGTCGATGTAGTACTTAGGAGTTTGTGCTGGTTCGCTGGGAATGAGAAACTGAACTTTATTTGTTCTTCCCTTTCCCGCTAATTCGTTGCCCACACGTGATTCGTTAAGCTGCCTCAATTTGTCTTCCTCAAGAATAAGCAATTCCGACCCTACTCGGCCGGCGTATGGACCTACCTGTGCAACATATAAGATGTGTCGACCTCAGCGTCGAGGGGACGGAGCAACGTCACTGAGCCAGAATACGATTGACACGCTGCAAAAATCAAAAAAAATGAGTCGATGAAAAAATGAAAAATATATAAATGACGCGAGGCAAAGACAGAGGCAAAACCATTATTCATATGTGGAACAGTAAAAAGCTGAGCGTTTTGTTCGTCTATCAGTTAAAGGATGCCAAATAGAATGACTACTGATGTTAGGCTTGATGACTGCGAGTGTCTATTCCTCATTTGAGGCCTCGCCTTCACCAGAATCAAAACAAAACAAAGGTAAAATACGAATTTGGGAACAACTCAGAAATTCTAAATACTTACGCGAACAAAGTCGGATCACCCTTATGTAAGACATAAGAAATGGTTCCTGTACTCTCCATCTGGAATAACTCGACTGCGCACTTAAAAACACAAAAGAGTAAAGCGGGCTTCGAAGACAGCTCTCACTGCTTTGACAGATGTGGATCACTGAGCTTCACAAATTTACTGTGTAACTGTTTACAACTAGAATGAAAGAGAGGCTAAAAACCGCTCGAACTATGAAGAGTTAGCATTGGAGCGCAATCGGTATCGGTTTGCGATTTCATATCTTCTAGAAGTTCGAGTGATCAGTTCTTTCTTGATGGAGAAATTACTTCACGAAAGACGGCGAAGAGGTTAGGCTATGTCTATGAGCTGGGAGGCGCAGCGACCGGGGCATGGCGCATATACCGCCTTCGCGATCAGCGCCCAATGTGAGTTCAGGTATTTTTGGCAGTTTCTTTCATTACTGATCAACTACTACAACTATTTCCTTTCGAAAGCAATAGCACACGACGGTGAAACTCCAGTTGGGGGGGGCCACTCATATATCTTATCTACATATCTTATCAAAGTGACTATCTAATCAGAGCGGAGTTGCGGAAAGGCCCTCATATCTAATCACAGCATAGGGGAAGGCACTCATATCTTATCAAACGTAATCAGCGTACTGAGACGGTGTCCTACGATTGCTACGTCACACATTCATTTGACTGTTACCCTTGCCTACCATTCTATAGCGGAAATGGCTGCTGCCCTGCTGACACTTCGCACTTTCACGATGTTCACCACGTGGCCTGAGCTGAAGGCGAAGTCAAAGGAGGAATTTGACGACTGGTTGGCCGAATTAGGATTGCTCTGGAAGGACAGGCCGTGCTCTAACTGTGGATGTCCGCGAAAAGTCACAAGGCAGGGGAATGATGAAGGTAGGCGTTGGAAATTCGAATGCTTTAAACGCCAATGTCGCCAACCCGGGATTCCGCACAAAATCGGATATCTGAAAGGTACTTTTTTGAGAGCTTACATGGCGACCGTAAGAAGATTTCCCTAGCTAGCTACCTCTTTGCGTACGATCTCGGTCTAGTTAAAGAAATGGCGCGCACACTGGAGGTCGACGAAAAGAGCATCATCTTCTGGACACAGTGCTTTCGGGAAGTCATTGTCGACTATTACACCAATAATGTAACACGGATTGGTGGACCCAACACAGTAGTCCAGGTGGATGAGACCTGCATAGTTCGACGCAAGTACAACGTGGGCCGGATAGTTCGTCAGGAGTGGCTAATAGGAGGGATTCAGGACGGTACAAAGCTGGTTTTTGTAGAAGTTACGGACAACCGAAGCTCTGAAAACCTCGACACAATTATACAGAAGTACGTGTTGCCAGGGACTGTCATCCGCACGGACATGTGGAAGGGCTACAATAACCTTAAGAATCTTGGCTATATCCATGAAACCGTTAACCACTCCGAAAACTTCGTGGATCCAGCCACGGGAGTGCACACACAACGGGTGGAAAACATGTGGAGCCACTTGAAGAGTAAAATTCGCTCACGTCATGGGCTGAAGGGTTACTTGTGGGACGACCACTTCTACGAAGTTCTTTGGAAGTGGCAGTTCAACACGGAAAATCTTCTATATGAACTATGGAAACTAATTGCAGCGAAGTACCCTATTCCTTTATCTATTACATAAAATAAGTGTTAATAAAACTGTTCTATACAATGATGACAAGAGATCATACTGGTCATTCCCATTCAATACCAAATTTGCATTGGTCGTCGCATGTTTTAACTCCGAAGGTTCTGGTTCTAAGTCGCCTTTTGCACTATGCGAGTGGTATCCTATCTAATCGCACACACAGAGCCTGTGCTCTGAATGTTGATAAGATATGAGGGCCTTTCCGCAACTTCGCTCTGATTAGATAGTCACTTTGATAAGATATGTAGATAAGATATATGAGTGGCCCCCCCCAACTGGATTTTCAC